ATAATAATAATAATAATAATAAATTAATAACAACGTACACTCAATTATATCGTGGAATTGAAAAGCAGAGCCGGTATATATCCAGTAGACGTATTATTCTAATTAGTAACGAGGTAAAATAACGAAAATAAATAATAACGGCCCATCATGATGTATTATTTTATTTTAATTATTGTCGTAACGAGGGCGATTATTTGATAATGAAAATAATAACGACGATAATCTTAAAAATGCTAAAAAACAGCAATAATATAAGCAATATAACGATGATAAATAGGATATTGATTATAAACTTGTTAACAACAGCAATGGTATTATTCTTCATAATAGTGAGAAATATAATGATAATTGTAAAAAAAAATGGTATTAACATATAATTATATGAATAGCAAGAACAACAAATAACATCAATATTAACAATGATAACTATTTCTAATAAAAATAATTTGACAATTGCAAAAATAACATTAACCTTACAAACATCTAAAATATAGTGATATTCATAAATAGACAATGATGATAATAATAATTATTATTTGTATTACTATCATTATTATTATTATTTTTATTATTATTATCATTATTATTATTATTCTAACAATAATGATAATGGTGATAATGCTACTGATAACAACAATAGTAATAATGATGGTGATGATAATAATAACAAGAATGTTAGCAATAATAATATTATCAATATCAGCATTAGTATTATCAATACTATTATCATTATTATTATTACTATCATTACTTCTATTATCATATTATCGCTATCATCATAATAATCATCATGATCATCGTGCTCATTATTATCATTATTATTATTACCATTACTACTACTACTGTTACTAGTAATTTTATTTCCATTATTAATATGTTTTACTATTTCTTATATCATTACCTGAATCATTATCACCATCATTGAACGAGGACAACGATTATAATAAAAACATTAATGATATAAGAAATAATTATATTATTATCATTACTTTAACCATTACTATTTTCATTATAATCATTATATTTTTTCCTTATTGTTATTATAATTATTATCATTATTAATATACACATCATCATAATATTCTTCTCATTATTAGGAAAGCGACAAAAGTTTTTATCAGCATTACTAAAATAACAGTGAGAATGAAAACAACAAAACAACAATAATTGTAAAATCAATAACAACAATTAAAAGAGCTTGATAACTGCGACTGATAAGGAAACAATTTCTGTAAGCAATATTATCATTGATCATAACCAGAAAAATAATCGACATTTGTCACTGTAGATTCAAAAAGAAAAAAAAACTTTGAACATTTATTCATAATGAAGGCATATACTAACAAACAAATAAAATTTTGTTGGTATTAGACATCATGCTGACAAATTATATATGAATGCAAAGAAAGTGTCATCAAGTTAATAATGTTTCAATTAGATTCCCAAATAATGGGTATAGCAGAAATAAACAAAACAAAATTCATTTCCATGCTGTGTTTATTCTCGGATAAATTTTAAAAGCTGTCATATTTCCTCTCACTCCAGCAGACATATCGGGCAGCTGCAGCCCGAGGGGAGGGGGGGGGGGTGGTCCCGGGGTGGGGAGTCTGCGGGGTTCTCGGATCGGGCGGGGAGCGGGGTCCACGTGCGGTCGCTCGCCCTCCGCGCCGCGACCGCCCCGGACCCTCCCGCGCCCGCTAACTCATCGACTCTTACACAATGGGGGAAACGTGAATTCTGAAACAAGATGGCGTACCTGGGAACCTATGAGCGAAGAACCTGCCGTGTCTGGACAACAGCCATGGGTACAGCGGGAACTCTCGTGGGCCTGGCGCTGGGGGCAGAGGCGTGCCCAGGTGGGACATCTGCCCAAGCAAACCAGGGGGTACCGCTGTGGGCAGGCTGTGGGCGCCTCCCGGGGGAAGCAAGGCAGCAAGGTGGAGGGCATGGGGCACGTGCAGGCCTGGCAGTAAGTGCAAAGGATGGGCAGCTGTAGGATGCTGAGGTAACGAAGTAGGCACCGAAGTGGGCACAAGAGGGTGAATTGGTTCTGGAACTCTAACTTGTGTTTTCTGCAGTTCGTGTGCATTTCCTACGGGACTTCTTGGCCGCGGGCTGCCCCTAGGGGACCCGGGAGAGGGGGGCGGCGATCCCCGCGCATCAACGCCTCCACGCCCTACTATACTGTCTATTGAAAATCCCAATTTCGGGCGCGTGGGCGTGTGGATAACGGCAGAAGGCGTAGGAATCATGACCATTGCGGGCCAGCACAACACCAGCAGCACCAGAGCATCGTCACCAGCGCTCTATGTCAGCCTTCCAGCCCTCTCTCTCATCCTTATCACGATACACTCGGCAAATTTAGTTCGAAAAGTCAGTAATCTGGAGGAACACACGGTGCTGTATGATCACAACGCTGCTAGTTCCCAGAGGTTGTCATCAGCACGTAGGGAAGCGAACAGGAAAGCCCAGATAGTAATGTTGACACTTACACGATGTT